TATAAAAAATGATAGAATAAAGCAGCATTTTCTTGTCTTTCTTTCTTTAAGATTTCATGATCTTACGGGAAATTATTGGCATCTTCGAGAAAGTTTTTCTAAAATTCGAGGCCATTATAGTTACATTTATTCCAATGATCTCAATTCTTCAGTAAGTGAAGAGTCGCTCTTTCTTTATTCTTTGCTAGTGAATCGTTTTCTTTTTTCCGCTGTGAAGAATCACTTTGCACTGAACTTGTTTCACTGGCTGAAATGGGATTCTAAACTGCAATTTGCTTCTTATTTTTTAGTCAAGCTCGGAAGAACAACAAACCGGCTTAAATCAGATTAGTGGGATACCTAAGTTCCATTTAGCTGAACGAGCATTTTTTAATAGCCAAACAAATGCAGTTGAACGAACATATACATACCTTAACGATGGTCCTGATTGGCACATTACATTGCCAGAGGTTTCTCAAGAGGATGGAATTATATCATCGTTATTGGCAGTTCGCAAGTCCGTACTCCGTATTGGTATTTTATACGAACATAAATCAACTACTCAAATGTTGTTCGGTAGTGGATGTCTGTTAACAGATCGACTAATTTTAACTTATGCACATAATTTTGACGTGCTTCTATGGGGTATGGAGAGAGTTCCCTACAGTCGGATTTATGTTTGTTTCTGCGATCCGGCGTGTGAATCACTTTTTTCACTATTAAATCCCAGTCATATGTTATCGGAATCTAGTCTGCTTAGTCGGGGCTTGGTTCATGATAATCTTTCGAAATATGATGAAGTCAGCGGTCAAATAACGGATCTGGCCATCCTACAGCTAAATACGCCAGTTTCACATGGACAACGAAACGAATTTCTTCGACCTAAAATGAATTCATTATCAACGTTAAGTCGTAGTTCAATTAATTCTAAACTCTATTTGGTTGGTTATAATGGCGAATTAATCGAACAGTCTGAGTTAGATCCATACAAACATCTCAAAGGTTTTGGTACTAGTACCATTGATAAACTAAATTTTAATCATAACGCTAACCACAAATCGATTTCGATCGGACGTTTCATACAAGAGTCGTCTTCAGACAGTCTATACGCTACACACAACTGTAGTACGTTGTCTGGTTCAGGTGGCGCTTTAATGCTTGATTCAGAAGGAAATTTCGCTGGGATTCATATTGGTGTTTCAAAATCACGTCTGAATAAAAAATGAGAGATGTTTTTCAACAACGAGACTTACAACAGATTTATACCAGTTTTCACAGAATCTTTTCGTACTTTTATCAATCAATCAATTCTACCTAACCTTAATGGTAGTGAAGCAGCACAAGACTGGCGATTCGTTTGAGTTCATAAAACACTAAATGTGATTTAATGTCTTTTGGTTCTAAACCTTCTATTTTTTCGTTTTCCTATTTCTTGTTTTCTGTATTTGTTCATTGTTATTTATGCTATTGTCAATGTGTAGAACTAGTGAGTTCCTTTTTTGTCTTCGATGAGTTGCGAAAATAAAGATAAACAAATTTCTATTTCAACTGTCCCTGATTTTATGGTAAATCCTGTAAAAGTAAATGACTGTCATTCTCATGTTTATTGTTGTTGAATTGTATATGGTACGAAGAATAAGGCTTCTCTATTTTTTATTATATAAATGATTGCAGTCAAATAAAAAACTTATTTTCTTTTCCTGTATGATTTAGGAGCGCAGGAAATGTGCACATTGTTTGCGGTATGGAAGTGAAAAGTTCTGTTATCATTACTAAACTAGCTAGTAGCTACTTTTTTTTATTACCAACAACAACCAACTCATGCGCAAGAAGTATAGCAGAGCCCCGCAGGTTGACACCGCCCGGCAGTTAGTTGTGCAACTACTTTGTACTTGAAGATTTTGAGCTATGAGTTGGCTTTCCAAAGATCTCACTAAAAACCTACTTTAAAAAAAAATTTTCGAACTAATATTTATTATAAGACTGTGCCTCAAAGTCTCTTCTTTTGAATGGTGAAAATCCGAACTCTCTACCACATTTTGAATATATATAGTATGCGTTGGAAAATTTTCTTCATCCATTATATCAGGGTTCACTTCTGCCTCTTCATAGACTAGTTTACGAAAAATGCCTCGGGTTCCATTAGATAGAGTCAATTCTGTTGCTAAATTATCCGTTAATAGAACAGGCATACCAACTAGAAGTGGTAAACAGCCAGGCAATAATTCTGTTCTATTGTCGGGTAACCTAAGCAAAAACTTGAGCAAATTAGGATTCTTTATATCTGTTTCTTGTGTGAGGAGTCAAAGATTCAATGGTAAGGGCATCAATTTCGGCTGCAGCAATCGATGTTGGCGCCACTTTTCGTAGTAAGTAGCTGCGCTTCGTCAACGAAAAATATTCTGTTATGGCTCGAATGATCTGAGATTTTCCTGTTCCACCTTGACCTGGTACACACATCAATAATTGATCTTGTTTATCATCTATTGAAAATAGTTACAAAATTGCTACGCTTAGTATGCAACGTTAAGACACATACTTGTTCTCAAGTGGCTCTTCCCTTCAAGATGTTGTGTTATGATCATAAATGCTCGATGTTGTTCTGTATCAAGACAGTATTGCGTTTTAGACACATATTCTTGTTGTGCTTTTAACGACGAGACTGATACCTGTCGAACAAGTTCAGTGCTAACATTATCTTGGGCATCATAATGAGATACAATCAGATCAATATGTAGATTTATAGCTGCAGAAGAATCGTCAATATCGTTCACATCGGCATCACCATACAGTATTCGTTCTCGGACTTTTTGCTTTGCTCTCTTCAAATCCTGCTGCCACTTTTTATTTAATTGAGCAAGTTTTGTTGTCATAGGTGTCACAATCGGTTCCGTACAATGGGCATTAGGGTTCGTGTGGTTAAATTGTGGAGTTATCGAAGATTCATTGAGTAAATTTGCTTTATCTGTTCAAAAATAGAATGTTATGGTTTGAATTCGCTATTTTTTTAATACTTACTTGTCACATTTGGAAAGCGTTTAGTTGCTATCACTGCACCTACAGCTTGATTCACATAAACAGAAGTAGATTTTCGTATTTGATTCAATTGAAATAACTTGTTGACATTATTATAATAGTCTAACAGTTGAAGTAGATTCTCGGAATCGTCGATATCTTCATCTTGGTCAACATTACGACAAGTTAAAATCGGTTCGATATTAGAATCTTGTCTTGTATTTGAATCCTGTATCACTTGCAAGAGATGAGCATCACGATCTTCTTTACACTCATGAAGAAGTTGAATATTCTGTATTATTCGGCGCGATTCGGATGTAATCAAGTGTTTGTATAATTCTAACGCTTGGTCCCAAGTTTGATGAACCTCACATAAATCTTCAACTTTTCGCCATGGTACGAATAATGCTAAAAGACATCGAGCATATCGTTCGTTAGTCTCTTCTTTGTCTTTCCTTGGAATTTTGGATCCAATTAATACAGGGACCA